TCGACGTCGACGACCGAAACGACAACGACGACGATGAAACAGCAGGGGTGCGTTTCGCGAAAAGTTCCAAGATATACTCTCGTCGAGGGTGAACAAGTATCGAGGAAGGCGCGCTTTATCGGCGATGATTCGTAAAATCGATCGACCGATCGATCGTCGCGATACTATCGAAAGATACAGTCGCGGGGTTCTCGAGGAATCCGTTTAGCGAAAGCTCCGGTTCGTTCGGAGCGCAGTGGAGAACTGAGCAAAGTGCCGGCCGGTTGAGCAGCCAGGCGGGCTTTTCCAACCGGCTTAACCAATCGCTACTTCTCTCTTCTCTCGCGTGCCCCTTTCTCTCTCGCTCTTTCTCCTTTCCATCACCCTCTCGCCTCTGATCTTGCACAAACCGTCGAGTTATCGCCCTGCTAGTTTCCGCTTCCGTTTCAACCCCGTGGCTGCTACATCCCCTGTTCTTTCTACCTCTCGAACGCTCGCTGCCTTTTTATTTAGTTTTTTTTTCGTGCATTGTTAAGGTGTAGCCGTATGTTCCGAGTGCTACTGCAGTTTTACTTTGACGCAAATTTCGAGTAGGCAAATAAAAGAGCACGTTTCGAGAACAATTTGTGTTAGCTTCTTCATTCACCTCTTGTTTCGCACGTCGGTAAAGACCAAGTACAGTGCGAACGAATACGAGTATTAGTTATTTCGTTCCATTTGCGATCATATATTTCGCTCCCAGATAAGACACGTATGGAGAAGGGTCGTATGCAAAGGAATTGTTACGGACAAAGAATGTAAAGTTGTAAAATGGCACAATTTTAACAGACAAGCAATTAGCAAGATTTATAAAATTTGGTGTCTTGAAAAATCCATATCATGGTACTGGCTATTTCTATCGTGCCTCAACTCGATGCGTCGACGCGTATTTATTTTCACGGGAATTCTTCGAAGATGTGCCACATTGACAAATACGCGAGTTCGAGTCGACGAATGTAGCCTCGTTCGCCGTTAATGGACAAGATATGTTTTGAATTTAAAACTTAATCGCAGGGTTCCGATCTGGCAAATCATCGACTCGACGCGACGAAAACCAACGGGTGCTTCGCTTGCTCGATGGTACAAAAAATCGTCTATTAATATTAATACACCTTGCTCGATTGCGCCTACATGCGCGAGAAAAGGATTAAAAGAATGACGTTAGCCAGTTTGTTTACACTTATCGATCTATGATTCGATCTTAATCGTATTCGAGGAACCGGCACAACGCGGGCAATGGTCAAACGTCGACCTCTTCGCGTTAGTAGAATAGATAGAGAGAAGAAGGAGAAGAAGGAAACAAAGCTCGAGCCAAGTCTACTTAGTTTGTGCGGCAAGCTGACATCGAACAAAACGTGATCGAGGCCTTACTTTCGAAGTTGCCTGCAGAACATACGACCGATCGGGCTGCATGTGCTCCAGTCGCTTTCCTAACGACGAGACATGCTTTTACCGGTGATGATACTTTTATGCGAGCGTGACGTGCCGTTTTCATTGACGCATTATCGGTACCCTCGAACCATCTACGAACTCCCTTAACGCTATTCTTCCCTCGTAGAAAAGTATTCGCGAAAAAGAGATTGCAACTGTCTGACCCGCGTGAAAGGATAACGTATTACTGAAATCAAGAAAATCCGTTCCATTAGTATAAAGAGAGAGTTCCGGCAATTTATTCCTGTCAGAATGGAGTTCGTTTTCCTTTCGATGGTACGCGTTACGAAATCTGGAACGAAAGTTAAATATTTCGTTTTAAAGAAAAAATCCGTCGCGATTACCATACTAAATATTCGATTAACTTTCTCTCAAATATAAACTATACGGGTCATACGGTCATTCGTTTGTGTCGTGTAAACGACCAAAAATCTAGTATTTATCGTTCAAAGACATTTGTTACTATTTGCTTGCACCGTGTCGTTAAGAAGTTATCGTGTAAGACAATAAAAATGTTTTATCGAGGATCGCTCCTGACCTCGGTTTTCGTTCGAAAGGGAGCAACGAAAACTCGACTGACGAAAGTACAGCGAGACCGGAAATACGAAACGAACCGCGTGTCAATTTTACTTTCACGAACTCGTATTATTTCGATAACACGATTCACGTTCTAATTAGTTGTCACGCGTACAGGCGTAAAATCTGTGTTTACATAATTGCTTCTTAAAGACTTGATACGCATCGAGTTCGTAGTAAACGAGAGCGATTTGTTATACTTGTTACATTTCTACCAGCCAATTTCATAAAATTCTCGTGCTAAAAACGATCAACTCGTTAAAACGAACATCGAAATCGCGACCAAACATTGAGAGAAGATTGATAGATTTTTTATCAAAGTCTCATCGATAGACGTTGATGCGTCAAACCACGCCTCCGTTAGATTCTTCGACATGCTCGCTGCACTTTCTCCGTTCATTTGTTTTCCAAAAACGTACGTCCACGTTCATCGACATACTTTTCAAAAGGGGATCCTTTTTACGGAGCAAAGCACCTTGTGATTCGCTTAGGCGATTGTTTATAAAATTGAAAGAACAATGATAATATACGGTCGATTAAAAGTAGTCTAATTAAAAGTAGTTTAATGTTTAATAATAATTGGACATTCGCAATTACACGGTGATTAGTTTGTATATTTTTCTCGAGACAATCGATTCTGCTGAAGAAATCCGTTTAAAAAGAGTTACGGAACATCCTTTCACCAGACTTAACCGGTGTAATCGTATACGTACAACGGATACGATCTTGTATAGATTCCCGATAATTTTTATTTTGTAATAAATATCGGACTATATTCTACGATACGGTAAGTGGAGATTAAAAGAAATGAAGTAATTTCCAATATGAGCGTAATTTATTAACGTATCAGTATAATATTTTTAAAGTCATAGAAACGTTTCTGCACATTCTCTGCACATCACCGAAAATAATTTGTATTTGTTACGCTTACATGTAGGATAAAATCGCGTCGAGGTACATTATGATTATGCTTTACTTTCAGTCGTTTATATTTAAAAATATTCTCTCATGTGGACTTTGAAAATACTGTTCAGTTTATAAATTATTATTAGTCATAGTAACTTATGTCAGTATACGATTCAACATTCACTGTTCCATCTTATATTAATGCGCGTTCCATCGATAATACATATATGATACAATAATAAAAACATTTTTTAAACTATTGGAATGAATAATAAAAAAATGCTATTCAAATATGTCATTTCTCGTCTCAAATAAGTAATAAAAGAATGGTGTTTAAGTACCACAGGCCAGTTTTATGTATAATCGAAATTAAAACATTAAATACACGACGTGAAACACGTTTAAAAAGGAAATATTAGATATCAAAGCGCAATAAGATGTACAAAAAGTAGAATCAATTACACGATACAAAAAAATTGTGCGTGACCACTGAATTATTAATCGCGGAAACAGTAAAATATATCCTCTGTAGGCCTACTATGATACACGACCTGTTTAAAGTTAACTTTTACATGGTACGATTATACCATTTGGATTCGTGACATTTACGGTATAATTAAAGCTATTTAAGTACAGGTCTTTAAATTGAAATTATCTACAATAAAAATAAGTTTAAATTAAATAAAAATATGTTACACCTTATAAAGGAACAATAAGAGTGCCTAACATAAAAGAAACAAATTCTATTCTACAACAAATAGACAAAATTCATCCATTAAACTCTGTTTCGTTATCAACAGTTTCAAATTTATATCAGTTTCGACACCGAGAGTTTGTAGCGTTACTTTATAAAGTGGATGCTTCTCTGTTCGGAATGTTCATGAGACCAGCATATTTCCAATAATAACTAGGAGGACCATTGGTAAAACAGTACTTCATGGATAATGGTTCATCGTTTTCGACGTAATACATTAGGTAGAAATTACACATTTCGTCTGCTTTAGTACTACCTATATACGTGAAAATATCGCGCGTACTACGCATAGTACAACGAGCTGCTATTCGATCTCCTTGCCCAGCCGAAACTTCGTTATGCACACGATAAAACATTTGAGGTGTTAAAGGATCTCTTTTGCCTAATTCTATCCAGGTATAATCTGGTTTTACCAAATATCCAGATACAACTTTTCCGAGTGAATGCGTATGTGTTCTATACGCGAAAGGGTGGATAGTTTTATTCTCTTTTAAAGTGCAAGCTGTTTCCATATACGTTGTACTTCTAGGAGGTATAACACCGGATGTGCCCAATAAAAGAACACCAGCCAATTTGTTCAATGGGTTTAACGTATAATGCAGAAATACACCAGAGTCATCGGTTCTGCCATCTTTAAATAAATCAATGTGGGCATAATGAACTTGAAGAACCAAATACTTAATTGGAGAATCTCCACCAACTTTAAAACCCACTCCTTCTGGTAGAATTAGAGTTGGCGCATCCCGAGCCCAAGCATACAATATCTAAATAACACATCAATGAAATTAGTAGTTGTTACATACAAAGTTATTATGTTTTGATTCTATATTAGTTTATATTATATACCTGTGACTCCTCTGCGCAAGGAACCATTGTTTCTTCATTATCATTTGTACGGTGTGCCATTTCTCCACAATTCCATATAGATTTTGAACTGCCAGGTTTACGACAGCCATATAAAATTATATGATGAGCACTTTCCTGTGTTGCGTTTGGTTCAAAACCAATTAAGTAGTAATTCTGAGAAGGATCAACTTTAACTGGAGTACATAAATATAATTCTTCCTGCGAATTACAAAAAAATGCTGTACTTATTTAATTGTTTACACATCACTAGAATACATATGCATGGCTTAGGAAAAACCGTTAACGGCAATGTTACTAAAACTATTAAATGAATTATCACGTTTCGTAATCCTTTCATCAAGAAGATATGTTAAATCTTACAAATCTTAGCAACATTCATTTACCTTATTTGGCCTAACATTTGGCATCAGCAATGCATATTTATTTACATTGTAACACTGTACAATCGTGAGAAAAACAACACATAAAGTACAAACTATAAATGCGTAATTTCTTCTCATTTTTTGATCACGTTTTAAACTGTATTTCAATGAACAACCATACGAATTCGTATGAATCCTTCAAATGTCACACAGATCGATATAAAAGAAACCCACGCTCTCAGATAGTCGCTGACGTAGTAATGGGAAAATTTTACAAACGCCATCTGGCAAGAACAGGCATATTTATTGCACATACAAAACTTGTTGCATATATATATGTAAATTGTAAATACACATTTTAGAAAATAATTTAACTAGACAGTCACTACAATTAGATAACATAAATAAATTATGGTACAAACATTTATACAATTTTATTGGACGGACTTTGACTAGATGCATACGTATTTTCCGCTTACTCAATCTTTATTCCTGAAATTACTACTTATCTCTCGAAATTTTTTAATGATGATAATGTTGTAAACATAAATTGCCGACAAATGTCGATATTTGAAATGTCGATTGCGAAAAAAGATATTTTTACAGATATGTAAAATACTTAAAATGATAAATGTAACCACTTGAACTCATTGCATCTCGTTTAGTTAAATTGTATAAGTGAAAACTTGTATGACATAATAAAACTATCTTTATCTTCTATTAATGTATATATCGCGAATTTGATCTGTAAGCCATTCAATGCCTAATTGTAAACCCTCTCCTGTAATTGCATTTGTTGCTCGTATATGCCAAGGTTTATTTTGTATACGATCAAGACCGAGTCCAGCAACGAGTTTGACAGTAGTCAAAGAGTCAGGCAAATCCATTTTATTTGCCAAAAATAGAATCGGTATTTTACGACCTATAATGTTTCGAATACAGAAAATTCAATTTTTAATATTTACATCGATCGGATATGTACCTACCAAAGGAAAGTAGCGAAACGATTTATACCTGCTACGTCAGGATGTTGAAGAAGCATATCTAATTCTTCCTTAACAACAACTAATCGTAATTTGTCACTGCTATCAATTATAAAAATAATACCATGACAGTCCTTATAATAGTGTTCCCATAATGATCTATGGCGATCATGCCCCGACATATCAAATGCCGTGAAATTAACATTTTTGACTGAAAAAAAATTATACTTTTACACAATTAAACGTGTTTAATTGCCATTTTTTTTAGTACAGTAATATGATAAATGTATTGCATAGATTTAATAAATATATTATTAGCTGATAACTTTTGTAAAGCATCACTTTTTCCGTTGATATTTTTCTGTCAGATGGAATAAATGACAATCACTGTAGGCAAAGATAGATGTTTTGGCGCGATATTATTTAAAAGTAGTTTGATATCATTTCTACATAATAATTTATATAAACATGGAAACGTATAAAATCATACAAAATATTATTAATAGTGAAAATGATTGTGAAGCAAATAATGGTGAGTTCAATGTTGGTTTAACAAAACTAACCCTACAACGTTATTGCCAAAAATAATATATATAATATTGAACTTTAGAATCTGCAAGTGAGTTGAAAAACAAATTGAAAAAACAAACAGAACAATTAAAGTCTATTATCTATGAAATGGAATGCAGTTTAGGTGTAACAAGATTTTCAAATGCTAACTGTATCATTGATTCGCAAACACCTAAAAGTACAACCTCTGGTAAAATTCCAAATGTTGATATAAAATTAAAATCTGAATTATATAAATATTCTGGTTTTTATTGTACTAAATGTACGAAACATGAATATGTATTCCACTTTTCATCCTCAAATCATTATGATAAAAAAAATAATTTTGGTGTACAATTGTTCAAGAAAAGAGATAAAGTTACATTGGGAAAATGGGTAATGCCAATGCCAATTAATCTAAGTGCCTTGATGTCAGAGTTGTCTATTAATCATGTAGCTCATGTACCTAATTTTTTAAAAAAATGTAAATATTATATTGATTGCTATTTTATACGACATAAACAATTTAGTGTATTGATGGTAAGCCTATCCAATGATTTGCTTCTATTTTTAATTTAATGCGATATAAATAAGATATTATACATATACTTAAATTTATAGGATACTGTTTCTCGTATAAAAAATTGTAAGTTGCAATCAAATGATGGATGTACACAAGTTATTTTAGAATTATTAGGAGTGCATGATAAACCAAATGATGAGTATATGCATATAATTTTATACCTTATATATCATATTGATACAATAAAGCCATACAAAATCATAGTGGATTCAAAAGAGACACTAAGTCCAACGTCAAAAAAATATTTGAAGGCATCTGTAAATTGTTTCAAACAGTTTGATTTACATATAGCATTTGAGAAAATATTAAAGAAAGAACCATTTGTATGGTCAAGAGAGGAAGATGAAGATAGCCCATTGGATATGAATGTATGTTAAAATTCTAATTAATTTAAAATAAAACATCATTATTGTAATTCTGTCAAAACAATTATGCTTATATTTTTAGAATTCATGGGATTCAAGTAGTGAAGGATACTTGACAGGGCTTTTATCATCGAATGAGAAATCTTTAGAACTTTCAAAAAGGAAAAGAAAAATAAAAAAGAAAGAGAAAACAATAAAAAGAAAAAAAACTTTGAATCCTTCATATTCAGCTAGCACCTCTATAGCTAATGCAAATTCTATTTCGTTTCAAAAAGAAGCAGAAGAAGAAGAGGAAAAAGAAGAAGAAGAATTTAAAAATGGAAAGACACATTCTTTAAGTAAAAGGGATAGTAATGTTACAGAATTAACACCACCTGTTAATAAATTAAACCAAAAGAAATTAAAGCAACGAAAATTAGTATTTAATAATGATAAATTATATTTAAGTAAAAAAAATGATGTTGCATCTTCTGAAATAACACCAACCAAAAAGAAAATGGTACACAAAATAAAAAATAAGCCAGTTACTAGTACTCCAGTACATCGTAATAGACTAAGTACTAATTTGCCTACTTCAAGCAGTACTGACATTAGTGATATCACAGTTAACCAAGACAATTTACAAAATATGGAAAATAACATTAATATTAAGTCTCCTAAAAGTAGTAAGCTTAAGAAAGGAAAACAATCCCAGAATAATATGCCCACAAAATTATTACGAGATAGAATTAAGAAGAATATAAAATCTTCAAAATCAAAGGTTTTAAAATAAAATTTATTTCGTAAGAAAAATATCAGAAGCATGTGAAGTACAAGTATTTAATAAAATTATCAATAATGCACCTAATGATTTGTATGTCATACACCAATGTTCATTTATGTTTTGTACAAATAAAGTTTGTAATTTAATATACTTGTTTTCTATTATTGTAATTTGTGCTCGAATAAATCAGCAAGTGCAATGAGTAACATAGAACAATGGTAAGCACGTCAATTCAACATCGAATGTCATTTACTCGTCATTGTTTAACTTACATGAAAATTTTTCAACATTATACCCGACAGTGGGCACTATGTCTATGCAACGGTCATCCTCGCGTTTGAAATTATTTATGACCGTCGACTTACCGCTGTTATTAAGGCCCACTACTAAAACATTTACTTCTTTTTTCCTAAGACCTAAAAGGTTTGCTAAACGATCAAATAGTCCCATTCTTTATGTTCTCTTGAATGTTTGTTGCGTCTTTATCGAACGTCAATAGTTTTCGTTGTTGATATTGACTGCTGTAAAGAAGGAGAATAATACATTTAAAAACAAATATGAAATCAGTCTTTTTATAGAGTTTATATTTAACTGAATCATTATTAATATTTATTATGATTTATGTAAATAACTTTGATATTTTTCAAAAAGATCGAACCAATGATTAAACTTTTAGTACAGTTATCGTACAGTACCAATCTCACGAATTTGAGAACCACTAACGAAGTATATCCCTTCACGTTCCGCAATGTTCTGCACGAAATATAACACGCTAATAACCTGAGTTTGTTTCGTAAATAATTTAAAATAAATAGCTTTTTATAATAATTTATTTTTCAATACTGCATATTGAACAATAAATTTCATAAAAATGGTAAGATATGATTTCAAGCAATATATATAATTGCGTAAATACTACGTACTAGGTTATTTTTCGTGTTATCTGTTTTCATTTCTTTATGTTTTCAGCCAAAAGGAAAAACGAAGAAGTTTATTGACAAGAAAAATTCGGTAACATTTCATTTAGTTCATCGTTCGCAAAGAGATCCGTTAATTGCTGATGAAACAGCACCGCAACGTGTTCTTGTACCTGTTGGAGATGCACAAGGTGCTAAACACGAAAAGAAGAAATTAGACAGTGACAAACGAAAAGAAGAGCAACAAAAATATGGCATATATTTTGATGATGATTATGATTATTTACAACATCTTAAAGATGTCAATTCTTTGACAACTGAATGGGAACGTGTTGATAATGCAGTCTCTACCAAAACAAACGAAAAAAAGGATGCTCCAAAAATTAATTTACCTTCTTCTGTATTTGCTTCAAATGTTGAAGAAAAAGTTGGATTACTTAATAAAGCAGCTCCAGTTTCTGGATTGCAATTAGATTTAGATCCAGATGTAGTTGCAGCTATGGATGATGATTTTGATTACGATGATCCAGAAAATCAGTTAGAAGATAATTTTATAGAATTAGCTAATGCTAGCAATAGTGATGATGACTTTCAGAAGGATGAAGATGGTATAGTACTTTATTATGTATATTTCAAATGACAGGTTATTTATATGTGACATTTTAAAAATTACAAATATGAATTGAATGTATTAGATGCAGCATCAGACTCTTCATCGGAAGGACATATGGAATTATCTGAGCATAGCTTTGATGGCTCTCTATATACCTTTAAAGAAGAAGAAACAAAATCACGTTTTACAGAATATTCAATGACCAGCAGTGTAATGAAAAGAAATGACCAATTAACACTCCTAGATGATAAATTTGAAAAAGTATTTATTTCTTGTTACAAAATGTTCTTTTATTTTATTTTTGTTCTTTTAAAAGCACAGTGTTACTTTCACAGATGTATGCAGCATACGATAATACTGAAATTGGTGCTTTAGATTGTGATGAAATCGAAGGATATTTACCACCAGATTCAGAACTAGTCCTTCAATGTGCAGCAGAATTTGAACAACAACAAAATGAGAATGTAAGTATCAAACAATTATTTCTAGTTGGAATAATTACAAATTATTTTATTTTTATAGGCTGATAATGTTGCAAAGCTCATGAAAGAAAAAATGAAAATTTTGGAAAAAGAGTATTCTAGCTCTGAGGATGAAGATAGTTTAGATGATCTTGTTGTAGATGCAAGAGAAAGAGATAAATGGGACTGTGAAAGTATTATTAGTACATACAGCAACATTTATAATCATCCAAAGTTAATTTCTGAACCAAAAGTAGGTGATTAAAGAATAGTTTTTAAATTTATTTTAACGTGAAATTACAATCTTCATCGCTTTTACAGCAACCACAAAAGATTAAAGTTGACCCAAGAACAGGTATTCCAAAGAATGTTCTAAATGACCCTCAAAAATTGACCGCTAAAAGTTTAGCTCAATTTGATCAACAAAATCAAAATAGTAATCCAAGGGGACCTCAGTCTATCGCAGAAACCATGAGATCAACTTTAAGTACATTAAGTATAAGATCAAAAAATGAAACTCCAGAAGAAAGGAAGCAGAGAAAGAAAGCACTGAAGGAATACAGAAAAGTACGATTAGCTCGTTAATTCCGTATTCATATAATACAACGTAATTCGTTAACCGATTAACTGTTAATTTCAGGAAAGACGAATAGAAAGGAAGGCAAACAGTGAAGCATTTAAGGAGGAAAAGAAACGTCAAGAAAAAATTTTGTTAAATAATAAACAAAACGTGCAAGGAAATCGAATACTTTAATATATAAATTATGTATCTTGTAAATGAAGTAATTTACATTAACATTGTACATTGAAAGTCTTGTTTACGAATAAGATGAATACAACTTGTTTTTATAAATATAAATTATTTACATTAACTAATGTAAAAGTTACATTAACATAATTAACAATATTTACTGCATTAACTTTTCTAAAAATTGCTAATGCACCAACTGTTAAATGGGAACTTTAAGAACCACAGTAAACGCGTAATACATGGGAAGAAAATGAAATATATTTATTTAAAGTTATGTAATAGCGTAATACGATTTTTATTTTCCATTGTACTAATTTCATTTCGTTATATTTGATGCACGTACATTAGTGCAATATCGTGGATCGTGGTTGGTGCGTCTGTTAATTTCCAAGCGTTGAACACGTGAGAGCGCAATATAAAGCGCCACCGTTTAAGGTGGGGCAAACAACGGAAACTCCAAAGTCATATGATCGATTTGTAATTCGCACGGAATACAGCATTCTTCGTTCGTTGCAAAGATGGCCAGTCAAACGCAAGGTATTCAGCAACTTTTAACAGCTGAAAAAAGAGCTGCAGAGAAAGTTTCGGAAGCTAGAAAACGTAAGTTCAACTAATATAATTCATATTTTAATCTTGACATGTTCCAACATAACACACTGCGATAAACTCTTCTGTGACCCTGAGTTTAAATGGGTGTAACCTTTTAAATGCATTGAAAGTTGATATTTAAATTTATGTGGGTAAAGATTATGCATTTTATTTTGCACTTTCGTCGTATTTTGTCCGTTTAATAATTATAATCGAAACATTAAAGGCATCGAGAAGACATAGATATCATAATTGAACTAACCTTTATTAACGTCATAGAACACGAAAAATTGTACGCTTATCTTGTTTTCTTTTTGTAAACGCTACAAATAAAATTGGAGCATCAAGTCGTTTTTTGTTCTTAGGTAAGGCACGTCGGTTGAAGCAAGCAAAAGAAGAAGCTCAAGATGAGATTGAAAAATACAGGCAAGAACGAGAAAAGCAATTCCGTGAATTCGAAGCTAAGGTGATTAATTTTTATATAATAAATTTTTGATTCTAACGTTTCTTAACTCTAATGTCAATTAAACACTTATATTTATTTCTTATCGTTGCTTAGCATATGGGATCAAAAGAGGACGTAGCAGCTTGTATAGAAGCTGATACGAAAGTAAAAATTGAAGAAATGAATAAAGCTGTGTCAATGCACAAAAATGCTGTAAGTTTTATAATTTTTGGGTATTTGAATATTCTTCTGTTTAAAATATTTTATTAATAACATTTTGTATCCTACAGGTAATGCTTAAAATCTTGGAGTTGGTGTATGACATTAAACCACAATTACACAAGAATTACCGTATCGAAGTTTAAACACGAAAAAATATATCAGTTAATTATAAATATTGCATCCGATGCTATGAATGTACATTAAGTAATTTCCTTGATTGTATCTTTAAACGTATCTTTCACCGTTATGTTGTACTATTATCGCAAATAGCGTGTATATTTTCATCTTAGATGGTGGTATTTGAATCATTAGAACCTTGATTTGCAATTACTACACGACAATAAATGTAATTGTATCTATATCGAACGTTTACCACCATGTTGGAAAGGTTAAAAATCACTGTAGTTAAATTACAATCGTAATATAGACGTCATACAAATTGCAGTCATTGTGATATATCAAGGCCTAGATATATTAGAATGACGAGTGAAACATTAGATTAAGGTGGTGGCAAGAAAGTATACATCATTGAACACACGATGTTAGATGTCATTCCATAATTCTGCTACATCGAGTGCATACAATGCGCTTAAAAAGTATTGTACAGCCTCCCGAGAATGACGGTTCGGGTTTAACATTAGCCGAATTTAACGTGATTCTTGCGACGATGTACACTACACGTACTATTTGTTTTGTTTGAAATTTTTAAACATTGTTAAGTTATAGGAAAGAAAATTATACCTCACGTGTACACCCTGCATCTGTAAGCTGTTTCATCTGTACAGTATTAATGTTCAAAAATAAAAACATTTAAGGTTTAGTTGTCTCGTGATTAATACCCATAAGCTTTCCGAAACGTTTTTAGTTTGTACTGTAAAGAATTTGTCACTGATAATTACGATTGCATAATATGTACGATTATTACGTAAAACATTTTAGGACTTTTTCCCATTTATTGCAGTATTCAAAGTTGTTCGCGCGTTACTCGTGTAACATATTATCCTAAGCTATAGAAATCAAAATCTATCCATTGTTAACGAGATATATATTCATAATTTGTTTACGGTTTTAAATACACGATAAAATTAGCGTCAATTCGATAATTCTGGTAGTTTGGAGTTTCCAAGCTTTTTGGATATTCACGTTCGACGCAGGCGCAGTTTTCGTCGTACGACGATTGGTCATTTCTGTTGACGCTTGTCGCAATTGGTTAGAAGGCCAGACGTAAAAGAAATTATTCTAAATATGGAGGGGGAATCAGCTGTGTAAACCTAACCTTCCCTCACCGAACGGATCGTGTTCACGGAAGACAGTGGTACGTTGGATTGCGCGTAGTGCGTGTGTGGTGCGTTCACAACACTAGCGCCACTCCACAGAGACCGAGAGGTGATTCGATTTCGCGAACTAATCCTGGTAGCGCGGAGCGGTCAGTCCGTGTGCCATTCTGCACCGAGAAATGGAAGCCGACGAAACGCGTCCGAGTAATACGAGCGCGAGCACGTTGCCGATGGACCAAGTCGTGTGCGAACACGCAGTGACAGCTGTGCACGAGTACGCGTTTTAAATTTGTTATGATCAAGAACGTACCGGGTAGAACCGGTCGCCGACCAGCTGCGATTCCGGAGAAGAGATCGTTTTAGATGCGCTCGTCGAAAGTTCAGTGAACGTGCATTTTGGTTTTTCATTTATCGCCCATTTGGTTTCGAAGTCGTGTCGCAAGTTTCGTTAAGAGGGAAAGGGTGCGTGTGGCGTGTACGAACGTCTTTGGATACAGCCTGACAAGATGTGGTGCCTCGTTAGTCAAGCCAATTCCGTCATCCTCGAGGTGCAAGTCGATCCTAAAGCCATTGGTCAGGAGTGTCTCGAAAAGGTAAGTCATTCTATTATTACGCTTCTTTTTCTCTCGTCTTTCTTCGTCCAATCAAAGTGCGCATTGTCAAAATCGCCAGATCATACTTTTCATTTTCTAACGTGGACGCTCTCGTGTTACCGCTTTTTTTTCTCTTTAATTTGTTCGCACTTTTGCGAGCGATCGCGGAGAGTGACAGGAATGCAAAGATACGATTGGAATTAATATCCGTGGCTGTTCCTCGTTCGATCGAAATCTGCATAATTTTCATTCCCTCTCCAATTTCCTTTTATTCGAACGTGCAAATACGCCGCGTTCCCATAGACGTAATTAAAACTGGAGAACGGAACGAAAGCAAATAAATTAAATTATACTCCTTTGTCTCTGTATCGCGAGCATCGTTTCCAATGTAAACAATAATAAAGCCAGCGATTGCCATACGTGTTGCCGATCGCGTTTACATATACCCTACCGAGAAATATCAAAAGTAATCGTACAGAGACGTCCGATTGAATTTTATCGGTGAAATCCGCGAATCTCGCGTTTCATCGGTTCTCACGAAAGTTCGACGGAACAACCACGCGGCAGCGTGTCACTCGCGAAAACTTAAGTTGCACGTCTAAAGGAAAACGGTGTGAGCGTTGCTTTACGGCTAGCTCGTAACTCACGTGCGCAACAGATGCCCCGAAAACGTTCGGCACTCGTTGCTGCGATTCCAAATTTGACAACTCGGTCATCTCCTGTACATTTATTATGTCGTTTACAACGCCTCGTTTTTGTTAACGAGTCGAACAGGAGACCGTAGGACGCTTGTATTACACGTGTTTACCGTGTCACGTGGTTCGTCGTAAAAATGTAGGCCGAAAGCATCCGAAATCGGTCGTATTCGAGAGTTGCTGGAAGAGATATTTATATAATCAGAAGAATAAAGGTCTGATTAGTTTCGGCAGTGGCACGAAGACGTTCGATCGTTCTATCGACGCGTTTGTACATTTAATTTATTCGCGACTTAGGGTGACCTCGCTATAACCTCGATGGTCGTTTTACCACTAGCGACGTGTCCGTTCTTCTTCGGTATTTAACCCTATTTATAGATGCGAGACGCATCGGTTGCGTGTACGCGTAGCTGGTCGTCGCCTGGTCTTTGCGTTTACCTGTCTCACCTGGGGAGACCTTTATGGCTTATCGCCGAGTCGAAAGTAACCGTGTACCGTAACCGCGTCGTGGATATTTTAAAGTAAAACGTTTATCTTGCTCGTTGTCGTCCCTAAGCCGATCTCGTGCTTTGTCACGTTGACCAGACAAGTAAGCCTCGGTGCATAAATCGTCTCCGCGAAAGATCAAGAGCACTAAGGCTTTTCGCATTTTTCCGACATTTTTTACTGCCAGTAAGAAGATTGATTTTCCGTAAATACTTTGAAAAAACCATCAACGATCTTTACCTAGTCTGTTTGAAAAGAACAATAGAATTTTATAGAAATTCGTGTATCGATATTATAATCGAAAATTTATGTCGCGTTTGGACACTGATTCATTTCGATCAGTGACCGTCTACGCGCATACTCGTCATGAAAATTGGATAAAATTGTAACGTAAACTCGCGTACTCTGGACGTACTTAGGAAGGATTACGTTTAATTTGACGAGGCACGCTAATTGCATGAAAATATCTTTGAAAGACGAGCGCACACACCTTTGAGAGCGCAGGAACGAAACCAAGCAAACCGGTGTCCCCATGCAAACGAGAGGCGTGTTTACCTGCAATATCAATCCGTGCAGAGCACTCGACGATGATTACGGTGCAACCAAGTGGGTCAAAGCCTAACTGGGTCGCAATTTCACCGAGCATCGTATTATTAGATGCTTGATGCATGCCCACCGACAAAATCGTCGAACGCGTTTTCAATTTAACTACGGCGACGGCCGAGGACCGACAAACGAACGAGATTAAATCTTCCGCTCTCATCCACTGGATATTTCGTTCTCTAATTAAGGAAAGTAAAGTTTCGTTCGACGGCTAACGAGTGGCAGAAAGAGGTGGGACGCCGTTTGTAAAGGTTTTTTCGTTGCATCGTCGCGGAGAAAAATTGAACGTTACCGTGGTCTGTGTTTTTACGGAAAGTTTGAACGTTTAACGCGAGTGGAAAGTAATTCGGTCGAACAAGTTTTAAGGAAAATATGCACGCGATCGGCTACTAAAAAAACTTTCGTCATTTTGCTCCGCGAAACAGTTCTCTGGAAAATTAGGTCGAAGTCGACAGGAATTACGTCGCTTTTGTGTCTTCGAACGACTCGTTGCCTTTATTTCCATTTAATTCGCATTTATTCGATTCTCTTTCGTCACGCGTTCCTGTTCGGTTCACGAGAACGAAGCGTCGGAGACCTCGCAGCTCGTCCAACGATCGATCTTACGTTTCGATCCTTTCGAAGATATACGTTGGCATCGACTCTCGAAGGACCCATTCCTATTCGGGTACGACGAGCATCTCGAATTCATTCGAATGGTGCGTGGGTCGCGTTTAATCTCGCCTTTATCCTCTTTAGAACGAGGTTTCAGGTTTTGCTTGATCCGATCAACGAATAGGTGGTTTGTCGGTGAGAGTTTTCTAGACGAAGGTTCAGGCCTACTTCGGTCGTACGATGCAAAGGATTACCGGCGCCACTAAGTCGGAACTTTCCCCGAAAAACACGATGTGGCCGTCGTCCGCGCACGCGGTGCCACAAATTTACGAGGTTGGAAAGTCGACCTCAAAGGGGTCGTAGGACCTCGGAGGTCCTTTCGGTATAGAAACGGCAATGTTTACGCGCTGGAAAAACGCTCGAACGAGAAAACGTGAACCACCCGCTGCTTTTACCAGCACCTAACTTTCGCCGCATCGGAAAATAATAGAGTTCGTTTCTACGATATTACGGGCGAAGGAAGTTTCACTCCGTTTCTTTACGATTGATCGGTAAACCTCGACATATTCCTGCGTCTCCGTTCTGACCTACTCTTTTTACTGGTTCGCGACACTGCGATGTTTGTACTTTACGGAGACGTAATTTTCTCTTTTCCTTCGATCGTTTAGTTTCGTTCAGTTTCCGAACACTGGAACTTGGTTCGAGCATAACATAGACTTTGGCTTAGCCTTTGAATGGATTAAAAAAACATACGCTCGATTCGTTGCTGGTTATTTTTAACGAGTTTACTTACCTTCGACCGATTCGCGATGTCACGTTGTTTACGATTTGCTCAGATGTTATTTCGCGAACGTTTGATTTGCAATTGTAATAGCGTGAATTTAGTTTAAATATAACGTAGAATTCGGGTCGGTGTTCGTTTTCGAATTTGTTTGCCGAGTACTTCGCGACCGTGGGAGGTATACGCGCGGAACGCGAACTTGTGAAATTGAAAAATATTCAAATTGACCTGTTTTCACCGTACTTGGTTATTTCCAATTACGCATCGTATTTACGTACCATTTATTCGGTAAATTGCCGCTGTAACTGTAACGCTGTAACGGCAGTCACGTTTCGCGGATCGCCTTTTATAGTTCATTACCAATAATACAATAAATATCGAACGTTACAGTGCAGTTTCGTTCGTTTGCTCCGAACTTATTTTACCGACCGTTTCGAAAAGAATCGCGTAATCGATAATCGACCTGTCAATTCGGTTCGCGTCAACGTCAGCCAATTAATTTTTAAGCGAATCGGTTTCTATCGTCGAGGAAATGTCTTTGGCGAAATTGCGTTTGGCGGAAAAGGGCTTCGAAAGGTTCGTTATCGCGACAGAATATAGCAGTTACCGCAGGAAGTTCGCGTTGGTTTCGAGTTTTGCGGTGTAATTTGCATTCGTTTATCGGCAAAACTAACGTCAGCTAGTTCGACGGTTACGCGATGCTGCCTCGGATGTGCGCTCCTGCACAGCGCACACGAACGAACAAATCTTTCCGTTTTGTTACACGCGAAACTATCGCGGTATCGTTCGATTCGTGCAGCTTTTGATTGCAAAATAACGTAAACCCGCGAAGAAAAACAAGACAAAGGTACAGCGTTTTTTCGTTGTTTGCTTTCGGTTTCTTCTCGCAGCGGAACGCAAAAAATATATCCCTTGTACGCGTAGTTCGCTTAAAATGCAAATAGTTGCATTATATTTGTTTTCTTCGTGCCGGTTGTAAACGTGCACGGGGACTATGGAAATTGAATGACACCGTTGTCGAAATTAAACGGGAGAATTTCTAATTACAGAATCTTCTGCGGTAAATATGTACGGACGAAAAAAGAGGACCAAAATAATACGTTGTCCTATAATTTTAGCGTCGACTGTTTCCGATCGCATTCAATAAATCAGGAGAAAAAATAAAAACGGAAAATTAACGTTGACTCAACGATTTCGAACGTTCAATGCATTCGCGTCGGTAACGGTATTAAAACGTATCGAAATTTGACGGTGATGGAATTGCTCGATAATTCGAGGAAGAAAGACCGTCGTTAATCGCCGTGAAGTCGAAGGACGTGATCTCCTTGATAGGCGTAAAGGATTCGAATGTGACGAAAGTAAAAAAAGGATTGAAAAGAATCGATGAGAAAACGCCAGCTTGCAAAGCGCAGCTTCGGAGTTTAATTAGGTGTAAGGACGGTATCCGATCCTCTTTCGCGTTCCCAGGAATGTTCATTTAACTTGAACCATTTCCAAAATTCGCGCGAAACCGCGAGTACGCGTTGAAAAGACGTCGATGCAGCACAGTCATCGCAAGAATCTCATTAGGTCGCTTAATTGCGTTCCACGAGGATCCGCTTTCGTCGTTGAATCCGTAATCGACTCTTTCTTTCGTTCCGACTTGTCCCTTTTTTTCTATCGATTTTCACGAATTTTACTTTATCTCTTCGCTATCAGTCAGCGAACCGAGCGCGGTCAAATATGTACCGGAGCAATCTAAACTTTGTAACTTTATATTTCGTCGATTACGTTCGAGAAATCTTAGGTAAACGCGTCGTTCTTCTCCCCTTTCGATGGATGTTATCTTTCTCCAACGTCGT